GTAGAACATAATCAAATGATGTAACGGGCCTTCGGCCCGCAAAGCCCGTCGTCCTTAAAATTTGCTCCGTAGACACGAGAAAGGGATGTAACGGTGAAACACCGCGACTACAACCCACCCTTCTGCTTAGAAAACGTTTTTTGGGCTAGGGGAGGGAGTTTCTTACCTCTTTCTCGGTTCTGGGCCTTCTTTTACATTTAATTGTTCACTACAGCAATTTTTTACTTATTTTCGTCAAACAAGACCCTCTAGCGCCTAAACGGTTAGAGATAGAGCCAAACGGACGAAATTTTCGCCCAGAGAGCTCTACTTTTGCTAGTTACCCCTTAGGAGACCATCTAATATTTTCTAAAATTAATTTATTTTTGGGCCACTTTCGTGATAGAAACTCCCTGTAGCGCCTAAACGGTGAGAGATAGAGCAAAACGGACAAAATTTTCGCCCAACGGGCTCTACTTGGACGAGTTACCCTTAAGAGCTCATATAAAAAATATTTTTCTGACTTCTTTTACCTACCTCCTTTTCTTTGATACTCCCTTTCAGCCCCTTAGGGTTGGTTGCCAGGATTTGCCGTAGGCATTTCGTTTTCTAGGAGTGAACCTTAAGATACCCTGAAAATTTGAAGTCTCTAGCACATCTCCTTCTAGTGGAACAGACAGACAGACAGACAGACACACACACAGACACGAGGTCGTTTGCATAAGCCCGCTGGATAGCTTTTTCAAAGCAGAAGGGCGGGCTAAAAACATCATTTTGGGGACCTGTGGTTTTTGATTTTTTTAAATTCCAACTTTTGAGCTAGAATGCTCTTCTACGAACTTGATCTGCCTTTTTATGACACAAAACGACCCTGAAAATCCCAGGTCGCTAACTCAATTCGTTCTCGAGTTATCGTGCGCACAGGCAAACACACAGACACACACACAGACAGACGCGAAACTTTTTGATCGTTACTGGAGTAATAGGCTTCGCTATCGCTCAGCCAAAAATTGCAGTGCCCAGGACTAAAAAATTTTCTCAGTGTGGACAGACAGACAAACAGACAGACACACAAACAGAATGAAACTTTTCCGGTCAGTGGAGTAATGGGCTTCGCTAATCGCTCAGCCAATGATGATCAGCCAGCTTTGAAGTGCACTTTGAGGCACTAGTAGTAGCTCTGACTGTGCAGGGAAGCCGCCTGAGCGCGTTGCCCGGGCTCCTGCTCTCCGTCGTGTGTGTCGTCATGTCGGCGCCGCCGCACGTCTTCCTGCACGCGCTGGTGTGCTGCGTGGTGGCGGCCCTGATCGCCATGCACCGGGAGCTTGCACACCGCCTCGAGCAGGCAGACGACGCGCAGGCCATTCTGACTGTCGTGAAGCAGCACCAACGGCTGCACCAGCTCACCCATGGACTTTGTGACGGCATTGCTGACATCCTGATGCACTTCCTCTTCAGCTCCTTCTGCAATGCGATTGCGTGTACTCTGCAGGTACGCACCGCAAGCCAGGTTATAAAGGCGAGGGATGAGTCACTAACGCATGAGCACAGGGAGACTACGACAGGCAGAGTGAGTGCTGCGGACAGATGACAAGGAGAACACTCATGGGTGATTATGACACAAGCTGTATGTACGCCAGACCACGTCTCGCGTAACAGGCTTCGCGATATCCCTTGAAACACTGCTACGCTGCGACGCGCCTGGCGCACATGTAGCTCGGCATGCGGCGCTGACACCCGAGGCGAGTTAACACCGCCAGAAGTGCAGTATCGATACGATATCGTGACGATATCGCTCCCGTCGTTCTCGTCTCGCGTACACCTTTTGTGAGCTCACGAGCTGTTGCGTATCGAAGCAGCCTACGCTAGCGACAGGTATGCGACAGAAGGAAGGCGACCCGGCAGCCGGAGCCGGAAGTGTACTTGCTTTAACTGCACAGTTAGTTGAGGCTGAGAGCAAGAAAAGAGCGAAAAGTTTGCCGGCACTGTCAAAAGAAGAAAATATGGGCGGAAAACCCGTAAGTACTTTGGAACTACTTTGAATGGGCGAAAACCCCGGACTTTAGGCGTAGGATTTGTTTTGTTTGGAAATCAGCTGTTGAGTTTCCATAACAGGTTAAATGAGCTTCTTTCTGGAGAGGTTAAGGTGTACAATTTTCTGTATTGAGTTCTAAACCTCAATCCTACATTCATTTCTCAAGCCTTATTGGAGAAATTTCTGACACGAGGGTAGCAATGATGACAAGTATTATTTCTTTTGTTCACTTACTGACAAATTTGTGTAAAACTTAAATATTTTAAGACCTTCTGGTTCGATAACGCGGTCATTTTCGCCGTATTTTGTCGAAAAAAGACCTCTAGCGCCCAAACAGTGCAAGATAGGGTCAAACGGACGAAATTTTCGCCCAAAGGGCTCTACTTTCACGAGTTACCCCTGAGGAGACCTTAAAAAAAATTGATTTTCTACTTTTTGAACCAACCCCTATTTCTTTGTTACCCCCTTTCACCCCCTTACGGGTGGTTGCCAGGATTTGCACCAGGCGTTTCGTTGTCCAGGAGTGACCCCTAAGATACCCTGAAATTTGCAGACCTCTAGCTCATCTCCTTCCTCTTACACGGACGACGGACAGACAGACAGACACGAGAGCGGTTGCATAAGCCCGCTTTAATGCTTTTTTAAAAGCAGAAGGGCGGGCTAAAAACGGGTAAAGGTGCACATCTTTCTACCTTTCACATATTGGTCGGCGTGGTCAATTTATGAGCTTATTTATGGCGCCTGACGCCACACCACACAGGGTTGGACACATTTAGAGTCTACTTAGCAGTTTAAATTCTGATAATCGAATTTCAAGTCAGGGGAGGCAGTAAAATTCAAAACTCGACATCAAAACATCTAGGAGTAAATCCCCAAAGCCGTATGGGCTAGCCCCGGCACCGGGCTGACACCTGGCTGACCCTCTAGGAATGGCCCAGCGAAGGGCGGCGCGCGGCTCTGGGATGACCCGGGGTTGGTGGGGCACACCTCCCAACAAGTCTCCGTGGTCTAGTGGTCAGCGTGACGTGATCGCAAGCCAGAAGTCCGAGGTTCATCTCTCCATCCGGTAAGGTATTCCATAATTGTATCAAAGCTCACTTAAACTAGGTAGATGTACGCCAGACCACGTCTCGCGTAACAGGCTTCGCGATATCTCACGAAACACTGTTACGCTGCGACGCGCCTGGCATACATCTACC